GCTCAGTCGTTAAGCGTCTGCCTTTGGCTCAGGTCATGATCCCAGGGTCCTGGGATAAAGCCCCGCATCGAGCTCCCTGCTCCGCGGGAAGCCTGCTTCTCCCTCTCCCACTCCCCCTGCTTGTGTTCCCTCTCGCTGTGTCTCTCTCTGTCAAATAAATAAAAAATCTTTAAAATAATAGTAATAATAAATAAATAAATAAAAATAATAATTAAAAAAATAAAATTTACTCTGATGATAGTTGCACATATGTGCAGATATATAAAAACAACTGAATTGTACACTTTAAATGGGTGAATTGTATGATATGTGTTATATTTCCATAGAACTCTTTAAAGTTCCCCTTTGATCAGTAATCTCATACTATAATGTGAATTAAAATTAAAAATGAATTAAAGTTCATGACCTAAAGCAATGGGACAAAGCCTACAGCTTCATATACACAAACCCCAGAAACTTCTAATGGCCCTCTCCTTCAAATTAATGTTCTAGTTGAGTAATATCCAGTTAAATAAGTAAGTATCCTCACTAATCCTAGTGGAGATCAAAGTAAAGAATCTTCTGTTTTACAAAGTTTGACTTTTTAGTATCTGTTTATCCTTTTTTTCCAACTATAGTTCGTGTATTTGTTTTTTTTTTTTTTTTAAAAGTTTGTGTGCAACCATATCAATTCCATCTTCCTTAAGGGAAATTAACTTACCTTTATTGGGTGTGATACACTGATATTTTCTGTTCTTTTTGATGCTTGCCTTAACCCAATGATGATAGTGTCCCACAGTTTGAAAGCTAGTGCTCTAGAGTGAGTCTGCATTTCTGTGTTTTCATCAAATGTTTCCAAGGGATCGCTCACCCAAAAGCACTCTGAGGTGCTTTTACTATCTCAGAGAGCTTGGTTAAGTAGTCTGTCTTATATAAAATGATGGCATATTAAAAATTAGGATAAGAAGAGCTTATAAAAATTTCTGTGATTATGATTACTATTTCAATAATTGATTTCTGTTTTGCCTGGGAATATAATTGACAGGATTTAAATGAAGCATTTTATTATATTTATTTATTTTATTTTATTTTATTTTTTAAGTAATCTCTACACCCTACGTGGGGCCCAAATTTACAACCCCAAGATTAAGAGTTGCACACTTCACTGACTGAGCCAGCCAGGTGCCCTTAAACAAAGCATTTCAGGTAGTTTTAATATAGTTTTAACTATCGAACACACAGAGTCACAAGTGTTGACTCCTGATGTCAGATAACATGCTGTAGTAAATCAGTGGGAATTGTACCTGGGAGTAATTAAAAAAACAGTTGAGTTATCACCTCTCAGCGTACACCAGGATACTTGTTTACTTCACTATTTAAATTATTTTTCTCCCTTTTTTTAAATGCACATATATTTAATTGTGTAAGGTTTATATTTATATTACACAGCTTCTGTAGATATGAATAATTGGCTGCTAGAATAACTTGATTATAATCGATTCTGAATTGCCTGAGGATTTGGACAGATATTATTCAAATACAGATATTTTAGTTTCAAACAAACATAAAAATACAGATTTTTGAAAAAAAATGAAAAGGCTATTTTTCATATAAAAAGATTTACCATAGTGCTTTATTATTTATTTTAAATAGTACGTTTTCAATCACAACATTTAGAGAGAGAGACATCTTTCTTTTCAGGAGCATGTTTTATTTTGCTGTCTTCCCACCCCATCTTGCTTATATTAATATATTTAAATCCTCTTTAATAACTTACACAAAAATAAACTTTTATCCTGTCTAAAATACCTTTAAGTCATACGTTTTAAAGTGGAAAAGGTATACTCTTTAATAAACAGATCACTGAATTTGGTATTAAAGTCCCTCGGTTTTCATTATTTTCATGTAAACCTTACATTTCTTTGAAACCTTGTATTTCTTTGAAACATATTTCATGTGTGATTAGCGTCTTCCAGCAAAATATTTTATTTTTAAAGATTTAGATTCTTGAAACTGACCTTTAAAAGTATCAATTTCAAATTTTTCTTATGAGTCATTTCATGTTACCAGCATCGATATTTGGCTTGTCTCATTTTATTTTATTGAAAAGTCAGTGACTATAACAAAACATGAAGGAAAAATATTCAGGGGTGCCTTAGTGGCTCAGTCAGTTACGAGTCCGACTCTTGATTTCAGCTCAAGTCATGGTCTCAGGGTCATGAGATCGAGCCCCATGTCAGGCTCTGCGCAGGGCATGGAGCCTGCTTAAGATTCTCTCCCTCTCCCTCTGCCCCTCCACTCCTCACTTGTGCACTCTCTCTCTCTCAAAATAATAATAAAAAATAAATTTAAGAAAAAGAAGGAAAAATACACAGAGTTGGAAAACTCATCCATAGCTACTATTCTACATCATGATTATTTTCATTTTTGTATTTTTCTTTTTATTATTTGTCCCAAAACAAACCTGTTTAACTTAATTTTAATCATGTTTTTTATTTTTATTTATTTATTTATTTATTTTTTAATTTAAAGATTTTTATTTATTTATTCATGAGAGACAGAGAGAGGCAGAGGGAGAAGCAGGCTCCCAAGGAGCAGGGAGCCCAATGCGGGACTCAATCCCAGTACCCTGGGATCATGACCTGAGCTGAAGGCAGACGCTTAACCATCTGAGCCACCCAGGCACTCCCCTTAATCATGTTTTTTAATCTGTATTATATAATTTTTCACAATTTTATAATTTTAATTTAAAAAATGTATAATATTTTATGTTCTACAATTAGCTAACTGTTCCTATCATTGGACGTTAGGTTATTTTTAGACTATTGTAGCTTCTGTTACTAAAGATAACTAGCATACCTAGCACAAAAATGTTTTAATATGCATACATGTATATATCTGTATATATTTAAATATACATATATTTATAATATAATTGATACCTAGTTTTAAATTTTAATAGAATTAAATTTTAATGAATAAATTTAATGAATTCTCTGAGTTGTAGAAGCAACTTTGTAATTGATATTGAATCCAGGTTTTTATTAGAAGTAAGTTATATTTGAAATTACATGTTAATGCAGATTTTATATCCATAATTACTATATAATTAATTACTAGCATTTTAATATCATATACTATAAGTTATGTGCATGTCCTTTTTTAAGTTATATAATGTTTCTTATTTATAGATGGCTTAAGCAAAATTAGACTAAACTATAGTGATGAATCAACTGAAGGTAGCAAAATGCTTGAAGATGAACTCATCGACTTCTCAGAAGATCAGGATAACCAGGTAAAACCTAATGCTTAGCAAAAAGCTCCAATATCTTATCTAATTAAGTTTTTCTTTGGAGTCCTATAAGCGATTCCTTCTACCAGTAACTCATGCCTTCTGAATTTGGGTCTCATCTCAAAGCACAAACCTAAGTTTTTAATTCAGAAGTTGCCAGGATAACTGTATAGGGTTGTTTTGTTTTATTTTTCTTTTTAGGGTTTTTGTTGTAGTTTTTGCCATCGTGGATTAAACTAACATTACCTACCTCAGAAAAGTTTTAATACAAAATTGATTCTCCCACCTAAACCCAGCCACTACCCCCACTAACCTTGCCATTCCTTTCTCTTCCTCTTTTAAAAGCACTTATGGGTCATACTTAACCTTAACCTTTGGTCTAACTTATTCAGGAAGCAAATGTAGATACTTGATTATGTGGTGCTTTCAGCACAGCAAAATTATTATTTTTCCCACATTTCCAGTGAGTCTTTTCTTTCTTCTAGTTTAATGTATATGTATCACGGCAGGAGCATATAATATTTAGTTAAAACTAACATAGGTAAATTCTCCTATTTCCTTAGAGTTCCATTTGCTCTAGTATATTTTACTTACACCAAGAATAAAATGTATTTTTAAAATATTTTATGACTTCAGTTAAAGAAGGCTTTATATTGAAAGAAAAGTTTATAAGAATCTTAACAGCATTCCATTTCTTTAATCTCTGACCTTTCTTTAGTTTTTTGAATAAACTTTGAGTTTATCTAATAGTGAAGATAGCTTTGTACTGCACCCATTTTTCGTTTTGCAGTCCTCCAGTGAACAAAAGCCCATTTTTTGTTATGTCCCTTGCTGTACAATGTATGTCTAAGAAATACAGTTTTTCTCTGCAACTTATACAGGCATTTATATATGGGTTATATTCAAGGTTTATAATGAGTGCTGTTCTTATGCTCCTTTGGTTGTAACAGTTATATGAACTAGCTAATCTGTGTTTTATTATTATTTCTATTGCTGATTATTTCATTTATAAGGTTGCCAGAAACTTTCTAAAGAACAGGGAAAGCCAAGCCTTGTTTTACATTCAAGATAATCTACAAAATAAGACACAATGTCATTAAGTTGTCTTCTCTTAAGTGAAGTGCATATATGGTTCTGTTAAGGTGTTTCCAAAAACCCTTTAAATATTTCTGATTGAAAAAATTATTTATGTAAAAGAATAATAAATACAAGTCATTCATGTTCCTATTGTGAAACAGTTGTTTTAGCCAACAAACTAAATTTTTGTAGAAATATCTAAAATCAGGCACCTGGGTGGCTCAGTCGTTAAGCGTCTGCCTTTGGCTCAGGTCATGATCCCAGGGTCCTGGGATAAAGCCCCGCATCGAGCTCCCTGCTCCGCGGGAAGCCTGCTTCTCCCTCTCCCACTCCCCCTGCTTGTGTTCCCTCTCGCTGTGTCTCTCTCTGTCAAATAAATAAAAAATCTTTAAAATAATAGTAATAATAAATAAATAAATAAAAATAATAATTAAAAAAATAAAATTTACTCTGATGATAGTTGCACATATGTGCAGATATATAAAAACAACTGAATTGTACACTTTAAATGGGTGAATTGTATGATATGTGTTATATTTCCATAGAACTCTTTAAAGTTCCCCTTTGATCAGTAATCTCATACTATAATGTGAATTAAAATTAAAAATGAATTAAAGTTCATGACCTAAAGCAATGGGACAAAGCCTACAGCTTCATATACACAAACCCCAGAAACTTCTAATGGCCCTCTCCTTCAAATTAATGTTCTAGTTGAGTAATATCCAGTTAAATAAGTAAGTATCCTCACTAATCCTAGTGGAGATCAAAGTAAAGAATCTTCTGTTTTACAAAGTTTGACTTTTTAGTATCTGTTTATCCTTTTTTTCCAACTATAGTTCGTGTATTTGTTTTTTTTTTTTTTT